ATCAAAGGGTAAATGTTGATTTCTTCATCTACCTCCTAATTGAGAGGATCCTTATAGAACAACCACAATCTTTTTTAAGTACAACAAATTATCTCCCAAGGGGAAAGGAGAATTGAGTGCTGCAATAAGTAGCCAATAATGGTATCTTGAAATGCATGAATTTTATTATTTTCTTCAAACACTTTTTATATTTCTTCAGCCACGTTTATTCATGCATAAATGGTGTCAAATATTGATTTGTGTCTCTTTTATTTTTTTTTTAGCAAACAGCAGACTTTTACTTCTTCCTCTAAATCAACGTCCAACTTGAGATATTATAACCAAATCCCCCTATGCAGTTCAATAGATTCTTATAAAATTGCGAACATAATTCTCGTGACTCACAACTCAATTTTGTAGGGTGCATTATTGAGCTTGTTCAACTAACCTTTAAACTATTAGTGACTTATCATCATTGTCGTTAATCAAAATACGTAATTTATTAGTGGAAGAGTACCATATCAAGGTAGTATTATAAGCCACAATAACAATTTGATGACTGCCAAGTGGTTACGATGCCATTCTATGGTTGGCTTTTTTTATAGAGAACAAAATTGCAGTAAGGTGAATTTTTTTGATGAGATTTTTCTGTACAAATTTTTTAACAACTTTAACTATATAATAATTTTAAAAACTTCAAAATTTTTAAATTATACACCTCAAATACCCAAAAACACACAAAAATTTTTTCATTCTTTCCTTATTCTTCTTCCTCCACACATCTCAGTCTACCTCCACCTCCGCCATTAGCTGGTGCTACTGTCACCTCCATCGGCGCCGATGCTGGCGACCCTTTTTTTCCCCTTTCTTTCCCCTCTCTCTCTCTCCATCGCCCTTTTTCCTCCTCCTCCCTCCCTTCCTCTTCCTCCTGTCTTCTCCCCCTTCCCTCTCCATCCCTTTCTCCCTCTCCCCTCTCCTTCCTCTACTGCTCACGCAACCAGAGCCATGACCAGCTCTGGTTATGTGACCAAATCTGACCAAATCTAGTGACCAGCTCCGGTCGTGCAACCTGTAGGGGAGGGGAAAGGGAGAAAAAGAGTATGAGGAGAAGAGATGAGGAAGAGGGAGGGAGGGAGGAGGAGAGAGAGGGGGGGAAATTAAGAAAGAAAAAAAGAGGTGGGGAGAACTGAAAAGTGGGGAGGAAAGTTAAAATTTTATACAAATATCCAAAAAAAACTCACTGACAATTAGCTAGCTAAACAGGTCAGGTGATTGCATTCGGGTGAGTCCGGCAGCCTTGTATCTTTTGTCCTTTCTAACCTTCAAGTACACCTTGTGTAGTGGCGGAGGATCCCGGTCTTTGCATTTCAAGTACGGGTAGGAAGAATTTTCATGTAATTGTTCGTGATTAGTAATTAACTTTAGGGATAATTTCAGAAATCTTCCTTGTGGTTTCTAACAATTGTAGCCACCTTACCTGAGGTTTGAAAAGCTATAACAATTGATGATGTAAGTGAAAAAAAAAATCCAATGGATATCCAATATTATCCCTCTCCGATATGTAAAACAAATTAAATGCTAAAAAGTTAACTATCACTACTATCAATTAGGTGCAAATTTCAAGTTAGTTTTTTGTAGGAAAATTTAAACCATGTTTTGAAAGCATTCTTTTTTGGTACTTTGGACATAGTTTTTGGTTAATTAATTTTCGAAGATACTTATTTTAATAAATGCCTTCCTAATTGGTTGGTCATTTTTTGTAAATTGATTAATAAATCTAGTCATAAAAATTGGGAATGAAGTATAATATATTAGATTAGATGACATTAGAGTTTTAGGATAAAGAAATATTACCAAAAAAGAATTTTCATTCTTCTTTTCTAAACTCAGTTTTACTTAAAATTTATAAAATTTGTGAAGGTTATCATAGTCTTTTCATAGCATTAAGGGAGGTAAGTGTAATTTTTTAAATTTTAGGGGAGGTAGCCGCAATTATTAGAAACCTTAGGGGAGGTTTTTAAATATCCCTAAACTTTAATAACTAAGTTTTAATTTACTATATACAAGATACAACTTGTACAATCTTGTAACGCAATGTAATTCTTTACTGTTTACAATAACGAAAAAAAGTATATGTCAATTATGTCGGATTTACATGGCATTACCTCATCCGTACCTTTTGGATTTTTTAATTATTGGCAAAATCCAAATTGTAAAAGATTTGTAATGATTGTTTCTGACAATTGTCCTTGCCGTAATCTTGCATTTTCACCTTGTATGTGCTTACATGATTGCTAAAGATAAAACTAATTAAAGGTCTATGCACAAAAAGTTTCTGAAAACTATATATGACGCCAATGATAAGAATAAGTGATTCAAGAAATCGTGACCAACTTGTTGATTAGATTTTAATTGCTCAATTAAGACTAGCATTAAGCAAATAAAAAAGTATCAAAATCTTACCTAATCAAAGAAACAAGATGGTATTGTCTACTATCATGACTACAATGGAGGATACAAATTCAGGCAAGTGTTTCGTACCATTTTGTGCCAAAAATAAGATGAGGGGAGAAATGTCTGATTAATTATCAATCTAACCATAGCATTCCTGGTCTAAATCAACCTACATAATTAAGAAGACTAAAACTTGACATAGGACTGAAAATATTTGGAGCTAAAAAGGGCAGGCAACTATATATTAGAGCCACCATAAATTTTAGTGCCTATTTATTCGCAACTGATCTTTTGTCTCACATCCTGTGCCATTCTCTGTCTCACTTTTTATTATATTGCTATTTCTTCTACATAAATATCATGTTTTAGTTTTTTTTTGTTTCCTTAAGATCCAATAACTATTAATTGAGCAAAAAATAAATACAGCAGCTTTAAAAAAGTAATATATAATAAAAAAATTAAAAAATACAGCAGAAAATTCATAAAAAATCTCATTTTTTATGCATTTTGATTTTTTGAGTATGTTAAATTTTGTGTATAACTCAATTAATAGTTATTGGATCTTAAGAAAACAAAAAAGAACTAAAACATGATATTTATGTAGGAGAAATAACAATATAATAAAAAGTGGAACAGAGAATGACACAAGGTGTGGGACAGAAGATCCGTTGCACTATTTAGGTCACACAATAGTAATCTTACACCTTCATACAACTTCCAATTTTATAATTGTAATCCACTTCTACCAGAAAATTGGGTATGGACGGTGATAATAGAGCATCTCTTCTATCAATTATGAGATAATTGTTGCTTGCAACATGATTTTAGTCATATATACTGTATGCTTTATTTTGGAGATTCCTGTACAAATTAAGGGCGTTGGACCCTAGGCTAAAATCCTACAACCAAGAGTTAGAAGGGAGTCATGTGGGGAACAAAAATAAATCTTCCAATAGTGCTAACATCTTTGATTAATGATTAAAATCGGAGTGAATATTATAGATTTGTTTTGTTTCTTTTGTAAGAAGCACTCTTATATGGACTTTTTTTTCCTCAACTCTCTTCTTTTTCATTTTGCCTCCCTCAACTTTTATATTTTTTTTCCCACGTCAACAATCAAAACTATACATAGTTTTACTCCATTTTCTATTTATATGGTAACTACTGAATTTAACTAGTTAAAAATATCAATCTATTAGCATAAATATGAGCAATATAGAAGAATATTAATTTAGAAAATTTTTAAATAATACTGTAACACTTTTTATGATGTGATATATGTGAGATAAAAAAAATAATTAAAAAGATAGAAAGATTATTAAATATGCATTTTTACTGTAACAAATATTTTTCAAAATAATCAATTATCCAATAAAACATAATACAGTGTTACTGCAAAGTTGATGAACTAGCTACTAAACTTTTCTTTTATGTTTTGATCTTTAATATGTCTTGTATATTCTAAATTAAAAATTAGATAATTTTTGAAACAAATTTTGGGAAAATTTTCTTCAGTGTTAATGATGTTTGTAGTTTAATTAAACATGCAAGGAGAAGGATCGGCATTAAGTGAATAATGATATGGCAAAGATCTCACCTTTAATTGTGTCTAATGGTGAAGCATCATTTAAGGGTTAATGGTAGTTTCTTCATCTACCTCATAATTGAGAAGATCCTTATCTACCAACCACTATCATTTTTAAGTACAGCAAATTATTGTCTGAGGGGAAAGGAGAATTGAATGTTGCAGTACTAGCAAGTCGCCAATAGTGGTATCTTGAAATATATATTATTTTTATTTTTCATCGGGCAAGTTTTTTCATGCATAAATGGTGTCAAATATTGATTTGTGAAAGGCAAACTGCACATTTTTGTGCTTTTTATTCATGCATAAAATCAACATCCAACTTGGAATATTATCCCAAAAATTTCCCTGGCTAGTTCAATAGGTTCTTTTCAATTGTAAACATAATTCTCAATGAAGTATATAGGCTCTCAATTTTGGAGAGTGCATTATTGAGCTTGTTTAACTAACCATTAAACTATTTTTCATGATTGATTATCATTGTCGGTCATCAATATATGTAGTTTATTAGTGGAAGAGTATCATATCAAAGTATTACTTTAATCCAGGCTAACAATCTGATGACTCAGTGAATCAACTGTCAAGCGGTTGGCTTTTTTGAAGAGAACAAAATAGGACTAATTTAATTATAGGCAATTTGGCAGACGGATCATGTGAGTACATACGGTTGAGTACGGCCTAGTATCTTTTGTCCTTGCTAGAATACAGAATATACCTTGTGCACTGGCGGAGTGATCCAGGCCTGCGCAATTTCCACCGCAGAATGTGGCATGGTTATTCAAACCCACCTGGCCATCAACCAGGCAAGGGGATTGGGTGGACGGGTCGGCGGTTTAACCACCGGATCACTGGTTGAACCACTAAACTATAGTATATAATAAAAAATATATATAATATAATTAAATAAATATACAAATTTATAAATTACAATTTATAATAAGTACAGAAACTTGAACACAATCTGATACCTAAGCAATCAAAGTTTCAAAGTTTAAATTTCAAATTCAAAGTTCAAGCCTCAAGCATTCTGACATGATAGTTCATATTTCAAACTTTTCAACATACAAAACTTGTCTCAAACATTGAAACATGGCCATGATTAACAATCAATTCAGTAAATCAGTACCACCAAACATAAACTAATAAACATAAACAACAATAATGCAGTTTATCACTTCAATAGGTCATTTACTGTTCATCACTTCATTTCCATGGCTCCTAACTATAGCCGAATTTAGTACCACCAAATTCCTCGACATCATCAAAATTTGACATATCATAGCCTTTATTAGGATAATTTCTTCTCTCATTCTCTTCATTATTAGTCTCATCTTCATCTCCAGCATCCAATTCAACCAAATTTAGAGCTTCATCTACATAATTAACACCAACCAACGAATCATACATTCAATTTATATTGTATTTAACAAAAATGAAATGGATGAGTATAAAAATTCTATATTCTATAATAGAATAGTTCACCATTTGGTCGGTTGATAGTAAATGCAGCTATTTCATTCGTAAAACTTTCCTATTGGATTCCAACCATTGTAAAAAATGAAACTAGAAAAGAAAGTAGAGCATATATTCTTGACAGATTATGGGAGCTTCCCGCCACTGCCAAGTGTCAACTACATTTGTCTATGCTCCTAGTTGGAGAAACAAGTTTACTAGTTCAAATGACAGATTATGAGCTCCCATAATCCATGCCTACTATCCTCGTATAGATGGTTCGGCCACTAAATAGTGCAGGGAAGTATTTTCCAGGACAAAAAAAAAAAGTGCTCGATTTAAAACTGCTCAAGATTTGGGTTTTAAGCATGTAAAGGTGGAATTAGATTCTTGACTAGGAGTTCATCTCGCCAATCAGGATGCAGATGATCAAATCCGAATGTTTGTCGATTGTCGACTAGCTTCATTGTACCATTAATTAAAGCTAAAAAATCTACATGCAACATGGATTAATTACCTTCAAGGCTTCACCGGTAGCTGCTAAAGTACAGAATCTACACTCTATAGAATCGACGAAGCTCAGGGCTTGGGGGAGGAGCGGAGAAATAAAGGTCCGTGTGTGTAGTCGGCAAACACAGCGGAAATCGGAAAAGCTTCAGAAATCAGTAGAGGTCAAGGCTTCATTTCAGCAAACACAGCGGAATTATTACTTGATTTGCTTCTTCATTTCTTCGTCCGTCTTTGTCAGGCTGCTAGAGATTTGGGAGAGAAAGTGAGAAGAGAGAAGAGATTCAAGAGAAAGAGAAATCCTTAATTCCCAAATTCCCAATTCCAATTGTCCCGTAATTAACTAATTGTAATTCAATTGGTAATTTGGTTTGAATCACATCGAAAAGACAATGAAGCTAAAAATGGTGCCCGGTGAAATTAAACAAATTGGATAAAAAGGTCACTCCATGAATATTACAAAAACCCATCGAATAAGAAATAATTGTTGGGTTTGACGAGTTTACGGTTGAATCGCCCAGGTTGAATGGTTCCAAACAAGCAAGCTACAACTTTGATCCAATTGTAGAACCAACTCGGTTTCGTGGCCGATTCACCAGCTTGACCGGTTTGACCACCAAGCCAGACCGGATTTCATAACAGTGTAATGTGGAGTTAATTTTGTACACATTAAATGAGTGTGTATATATTGTCACGGTTGAATGTATGACACAAATGTAAAATTTGAAATTTGAAATTTAAATTGAAATTAATTGTCATATATCTACCGATGATAGTGTGCATATTGTCAGTATGTAGAAAATTAATCCTATTATATGTACTAATATAATCGATGTAAACACCAAAATTATAATTGGAAAGATTAGATAATAATGTGTGAAAAACACAAATTTTCATATGGTTGATAATATAATATTTCTATTTTATTTTTTGATAAAAATGAAATTTTATTAACGATATTACTGAAAAGCGTCCAGCACGATTTGATTTACATCATAGAAATCTGTATTAATGGTAGGTTAAACATCACTAGAAATAATACATATGTAATTTAACAGATACAAAAATTTGCAAAATTGTGAACAAATATGAAAATTACAAGAAATTTTGATATGTCTTCTAATAAGGTAAATCATTACAGCTCCCTCGTGTGCATGTTGCAATTGTCAAATCTGCTAATCAACTGTTTTAAACTCCAATAATGATGATATCTATCGAGATAGATCTAAGATCCAAAAAAAAGAAAAAAATTTAGATCTAACAACCAGATCTAAAATAAAGTTAGATCTAACAATAAAATAAAAAATTACACAAAAATCTTATTAGAAACTCACCAGAGAATAGAAAATTCTTACTAGGAACGCATAGGAGAAATAGAAAATTCTCACTAAAAAAAAAATTTAGGAGGAACTTTATTAGAAACAACAAAGTGCAAATAGAATTTACGGAAGGTAGACCACCCTAATAAGGGAGGCCTCTTGAGAGAAGAGCTAAAGGAGGAGAGAGAAATTAAGGAAGAGGAGATTTTGGTTTAGTAACTAAAGTTTTATTTTGATGTTTTGATACGTACGTCTTTGATGTTAGTTCATACATTTTATGGTGCAATTGTCATTAGTAATTGCAGAGAAACTCAATTAGCCATGTAAAAATTTGAAATTAGACTAGTAAATTTTTAAAGATTTTCAATTTATCAAGTTTGTGACCCTAGTTTTTCTAGAATATCCTTCTACTCTCACATACCTCCCATAAATTAGGCTAGTAAAAATTAAAGCTTTTACCATTGTTGTTATCTGACGGGGCCTTCAATGGGTGCACTCATTAATACACTTATGTTTGGGATGCAAGAATGGTGTGGAAAGAAAAGGCCTTTCTAACTTATTGATTCCATTCCAAGTTTGGTATGGAATATGGATCATTAAAGTAACAAAGGCCACTGTTCCCTTGAAATGCTCATTCCAACTTTTTTTTTTTTGTTTTTGAATTCCATTCCACAAAAAAATCATAGAAAAGCTCTTTTCAACTTCATCCTAAAATGTTCAAATTAGCAAAATGTCAAGTTTATCGTTATAAATATATTCTCTATCATCATATCTTAGAATATTTGTGAGCACAAGTAATAGTAACATTAAAATTATATCTAACTTATGTCACAATTAATCTAGTCCCTTGAACATTAGTGGCGGAATATGTCGTCATCATGCAAGATAAGCTTAATTAAGACGTGCGCACATAATTTAAATCCAAATCATTATCACTATCTGTTTGGCATGGCTTAGTGTAGTCTAATCATAAAAAGCTAGGATTCCAAAGATCTAACCTTTATGTACAGTACCATCGACATGGGTCTGCAGAAAAGTGGGCACACACAGTTATAAAGGTTTTCTCTTCCATACATGGGTAGAAGTAAAGAACATGACAAATAAATGATTCACATCCATGTGCATTTCTTTTGATTCTTTTTTTTTTTTTTTTTGGGTAGGAATTTCATTGATTCTTTTGGTAGGGACAATGTGTAAAAAATGTGGGATCGAGCCGTCCTCATCAACTTTCTTGATAACTCAGCTGGAAAATTCTGCTCAATTTGTATGTTACATGAACAGAATCACTTGTTTTGTTGATTAAACACTAAGCTAGAAACAACTTTAGATGGATGGTAATGTACAATAATAGCTTTCATTCATCAACAATATTTTCTATCAATGTTGATGTGCTGTGTAATGATATATTTGTATGAATAGATAGGGAATATCATGGTCGTCGCTGTTCAATATAATGCTCCAAACTGTTTGATTTTGATTCATTGGGAGATACCTTTCTCAAACAGAATCTATACAAATTATTATTAAGATTTTCAAATTGAGGTCAAAACAAGCCGAAATTCGGTGTGAATATAATGTGTTTTGAGGGTAATATAGACCAATGGAACATGTTTTTTCCTTGCAGGATATCATTTCCTTGTGCTAAAAGATGATAATGATAAGAATGTAAAACCAGACCATGGCATAACCGCCACACTGGTGCAATTAGAGCTACTTAAGTAGTAGTTGTAATAATTCAAGTCCTTTTAGTGGTTGTTGTAGTCATGCTGAACATTATATTCTCTATTCTCTATTCTACTTGTGTCCCTTGTGGAGTCAGATCAGATTTGCTTTCTTGGAGGGTTGGACCTCAACAAAGACATCAAATCTTCAAGTAGATGTTGATGGAAATCAAGATTCTCTCTTTTTACCATCTTTTCTCTAATGGACCAATGACTTGAAATTTTTGTAGTAACTAGAAAGGGCGTACATGGCCCAGAAAAATTAGCAAGAAAATAAAAAGATGAAACGGAAAGGAAAAGTTAAGAGTTAACAAGTATTAGATCTGTCAACGGTCGGGTCTGGACCCGAACCTAGTCCGAATTTGCTATTTTTCCTCGGGTATGAATATAGATATAATTATGTTTATCGGACCTATTTTCCCTAATAAAAAAGCAGGTCAAATACGAAATATTAAATTATGACCCGTATCCTACTCGAACCTGTTTAAATGAATTAATAGTTACAAAAAAAAATATATATATATATACATCTTATATTATATATATACATATTACTATATAAATTCCGGTACAGGTATATCCAACCCCATATTTGGACCCGATCGGATCCAAATCTAGATCTAAAAGATCAAGTATAAAGCCCATCAAATATATGGGTTGAATCCGAAACACGTACAAAAAAATGGATGTGGGTCCAGAATATTCAATTCTGGCCCAAATCTGACTCATGATCAGATTTACCAAGTATCACATGCTTGTACCTTCATGCATAACATTTAATTACTAAAATGGTACCAATTCTTGGAATGTTGTTGGATATTAATTGGGTTGACATGATTCTTAATTTCCTAATCCGAAAAAGTTTTTCTTTTTCCTTTTTAATTTTTATTAAAGGAAGGAAAATGAAAAAGGGAAGATAAGAGGTTGTTGATTATTACTAGTGCTTATTCAGAAGGTGTACTGTTTGGGCTGGCCAACAAAGAATTTAAACAACATCGGCCCAAAAGTTGTAGCGACACCGTAGGAATACGGATGTATATTCATACCTAACGAATTTAAAAGGATTTTATATATATATATAATTTACGAAATCCAATGAGAACGTCGCATACCATGTTTTTTTTCCTTATACATGTTTACATTTATTACATGTTATCCTTCTGTTTTAATATTTTGAGTCTTTTTTTTTATGTTTGATGCTTTGTACTAGTGAATTAATAAAGTTTTCAAAAATATTATCAAAAAAAGGAAAAAAGAATCATCATTTGAGTGAACAATTCATTCACCAAAATATAAGCTTTGGCAAAGACAAGAGGCGGAGAGGGTATTGTTTTTTTTTTTTCCCAGAAACGATAGAGATTTTATTCATAATAATAATAAGAACAATACATTATATGAGCAAGGGCTCTCCGTTTGGATTAGCTGTTTTTGGAGGTATTTTTGAAAAACTTTGCTGTAACAGAGTTTTTAGAGTATATTTTGAAATATTTTTAGAAAATATTTTGAAATATTTTTTATTGGCACTTTATTATGAGATATTTGGTAAAATTTTAAAAAAATTTAAACTAATTTTTAGATTATCTTTTAGAGTACTTTATTGTAACTTTTATTGTATTTGAAAAACTAGTTTTTGAAAAACACTCCAAAAACAGGAGATCCAAACAGATTAGACTTTACAAAAGTAGACCAAGCCACTGACGAGCTTAGAGTTCCTCATTAAAGTATATGCATAGCTAGTTTACTCAGTTTTTCACTGAGCCTATTCACTTCAACAGGTAGGCTATCCAATGAGCATTTCCTAAACATTGAGCTAAGATCTTTTATATCCTCCAGGTGAGTTGCCAGCCTTGAGTTACTAGAAGCTTGATGCTTCCAGGTAGAGCTGGCAATTTGTCCCAAGTCCCAATGGGCTACCCATGCCCAAAGGAACTTTGGGCGGGATGGGTATTATAATTTGGTATTGGATTTAAGTTGGGACACATCCCAACTATACCCATTAATGAATGGGAAAGGATGGAAAATACTTGGGTACCCATTGGGCTCAAATGGCAAGGGCTCCGTTTGGATTAGCTGTTTTTGGTATGTGTTTTTGAAATATTTTATTGTAGCAGTGTATATGAAAAATTTTTACTATAAAATTTTTTTGAAATATTTGATATATTAATATGGATGGGATGTTTCTTGATTGTATATTACTGTAACATTGTATTTGAAAAACTTATTTTTTGAAAAAAAAGTCAATCCAAACGGAATCTTAGATTCAAAAATAATCTTTAACAATTTTTATAGTCATACCAGCGAATATAATCTAGTAGTCTTCCTAGTCATTATCCACAAGAATTTCCAGCATTTCAGTTAGTTTCGACCTGTCATCCTTGGACAATGATAAGGATAAATATTCAACATCCTAAGGATCTTGGCCATCTTGATATATGTTGGAATATGGCTGTATATCTATCTTTTCCTTTATTTTTTAATTCAATTTTTGGTGGGAATCTTGAGTATAAAGCACTTGCATGTTTATTTAATAAAACTAAAAGAAATTTAATAAATCAAAAATATTAAAATTATATTAAAAAAAAATGAATTAAAGGAAAAAAAATATGTAGAAAATGGATTTGGGTATTGGGCGGGATCAATCTAAACCCATCCCAAAATGATCCCGCCCAAATTAGTCCCAAAACACATATGGGTAAGGTTGGGCCCAAACCCATATGACTCGGTTCCATCTCAAACCCAAGCAAATCCCGCCCATCCCGCCCATTTTGCCACCTCTACTTCCAGGCAGGGAGGGTATTGTGTTGGATGGTAAAGCGAAGAATTGTAAGTAAGAGATCCGGAGTTCAACACTTCTCACTTACAGGGAAAAAAGGGGAGGGGGGGGGGGGGGGGGGAAGACGATAGATCGCAGTCTATTACCTTCTGGCAACCTAATAAACAAACCAAGCATTATTCATATTTCAACAGCTACTACACGAAAACAACTACAGATATTTAACGGATATTCGACTTTTCCAGAGAGGGTTTGTTGTCAAACTGTTACATTGTCCTTCACATTTGCACATCCTATTAATACATAGATCTTACAACAACAGTGTATGGAACTATAATTACTCCAAGGCTATAAAATCACACAGATGAAAAGCACCATGTCCATACGAAGTGCACACTAAAATTTGCAAAATCTAGGCAAAATTTCCGGTGAGCAAGATGACAAAAGAACGTAGAAGCTCACTTCCTTGTATCCAACGTATTTGTGCAAGGCAAATTACTGAATCTCTACCACCTTGCCAGTGATTTTTTTCATCCCATCCAAGCAAAAACTCTAGCCGAAAGGCAAAGATTTAAACAAAATTTCATTCTCTCCATACAGACCAACAACAAGAGAATAGACATTCAGAAAACATTGAAGTACCAGATCATGTACAGAGATGATAAATAAGCGCATTGTGTGTGTGTGTGTGAGAGAGAGAGAGAGAGAGAGAGCGGTGATGACACAGGAAAAGTTTTGTTTGGCACACAAGGATGGATAAATCTTCCTAGTAAAGCCTTAAAAAGTATTTTTCCCTAGTCAGACAGAAGGTGAAGACTGAATTCACTTTTGAGATGAACAAATTTTTAAAGCACAATCCAGGGCCGGGAGTCAGGGATGTGATAAAGTGCATCCCATCGTACTTTGTAATGCTAACTAGCTTATGCAAGCTCTTAGTATATAATACCTCTGTCTCATATCTTGGGAATATACTTGTTATTCTACACATGCTTTTCTAAGAAAAACTATCCGACATTAGGGCTATAAAACAAATAACACCACCATTAAATGGTAATCAGAGCTCATTTTAGATCACACCACATGCTGAAGACCATGTATCTTGACAGATAGACTTGCTATATCAGGTGGTTCAGTTTGAACGTCATCCTTTCCTTTACATTGTTAGTCAATGGCAAGGAAACTTAAAAATTTCAGTTCAACATGAGAAACTTAAAAATATGTCATCAATGATTGAGTACTTTCAGCACTTAAATGCATAAATGTGGATGAGTTCATATTTCACAATCGAATTTTGCCTTCAATTGGATAGAGGTAATATTAACTTAATATTTTCATGCAAGTAGATATTCGGCCTTAAGGTGCTCCCTCCAAATAAAGTTTGAGCCTATTCTCCCAAACTCAAGCATAGCACAAGCCTTAGAATTCAGAGTTCTTTTTGCTCATAGTCATCAACCTGCTAAAGTCAATGTGTATAATTCAGAGTTCTGCTTTGCCCTTTAGTCTACAAGTCATCAACTTGCAATACAAGTTGGTATCCAGCCTTAAGGTGTTCCCTCCAAATAAAGTTTGAGCCTATTCTCCCAACCACGAGCATATTAGAATTTAGAGTTCTGCTTGCCCTTTAATCTATGATTCATCAACTTGCCAAATTGTAGACCAAAAGCATATATCGAATTCAAGTCAATAAAGTCTAAAACACATTCCATGCATTAACTCTCAAAAGCCCATGCAGATATTATAATCCTTCAGGAACAATTCAACTATCAGCAGTGAAAGAACTCTGTGGTTACATCATAGTCAAGCACTCAACTAATTTGGTTAAAAGAAACAGAGTAGGAAAAATAAGCTCCAGTCCAACAATATAACATAACAAAAATAAATCTCATGAGATTAAATCCATTACTAATACAGACACATACCCCAGACACACACATGGGAGAGTGAGCGAGAAAAGAGTAGAGAGAGGACAGAAATTTCAGTACCTTACTCAGCAGCCCTCGCAGTCTATTTGACTTAAGGTATATATGCATAATTGACAATTCAGTTAAGAAATTATACCAAACCTGAAAGAATACAATGCAGATTTTGTCAATAGTTTTCAAAGGCCAATTATAAGCACCAGTTTACCTTGAATATTGTATCCATACCACTAAGAAAAGAGTCGTCCAAATAGAATGCCACTATAGACAATCGCGCCAAACCACTTATTGGATACAAATCTAGAGACAAAGAAGAGACAAACAAGTAAGTCATTAAGTCACAGCATTCGATTGCATAGGCCCAAAAAGAAAAGAACAAAAAAAAAACTCAATTATAAACTGCTACACATATAAAACACCTTCGTAAATCAATTGACTAAACAAAACTACTAAAATAAAATTGCAATATTACCATGCCCTGAAATCAGATTTACTCAAAAATTGAGGGAAGCAATTATCTTCTATTCCAAGAGGATATCAATGAATTTAAAGAACAAGAAGCAGCAGTTAAATGGTCAAACTTATAATTTAACAAACTAGATAACAAAACTCTATGGGTAACACGCACTTCTTGTTGCAATCTGCACGACATGACAAATCAACTGTCCGTATCTGCCAAGCTAAATGGCTCGATGCAGCAGCTAAAAATGCATAGTATGGCCATCCTGCTCCAAGAACAGTAAAAGAGAAAATGAGGCTGAGAGACAAAACAACTTATAACTCTATATAGGAAGAAAGGGGAGAGGGGAAGAGATGACATGTTATTGCCACTACAGGCCAACTGCAGAGTATGACTAAAAGGTGAATTTCTACCAATTTCAGCATTCAGTCCACTGAGGGCAAGACTGCCAATGCATGCAAGTCCAAATCCAGTAAGCCACTCTTTTGTTGAATCCCCAAACCTCAAGGCAGTCGATTTAACACCAACTTTAAGATCATCATCCTTATCCTGGAGAAGCAGTACTTAAATCATTACCATAGTATCAGGCAGCAACAAAAGCTATCCCTATATCATATCTAAAACCAATGAGACATAAAAAATATATACAAGGATAAAATATGAACACACCTGCCAGGTGACAAGTATCACAACTAGACTTCATAAAATATGTCTAAGTACCTGATGTGCATAAATTGTATCATACACAAGTGTCCAAAATACACCAGATGCATAAAGCGGCAGCACAACTGCGGGATCAAGACTCCCTCGAATAGCAGCCCAACCAAGTAGTGCTCCCCAGTTAAATGTTAAACCAAGATATGCCTGAGGCTGCAAAAATAGAGACACAATGTCAGATGACATTAAAAATTTTTGACACAAGCTCATTGCAGTACACACACACACATGCACGCACACGCGCACAGAGAGAGAGAGAGCAATCCTGACAACAAACAAAAAAGACTCAGATGCATACCCAAAATGTGAACCTTTTCATAAGGGGATACGAGAAGACCAATAATAAGGATGAAGCTCCTAAAATCTGGCTGCAAAAACAAGATACTACAGCAGATGAAAAAACAACTTTGTGAAGTCATGCATGATGAACACACACAATATAAGCAAGTGACATGAATTCAAACTAGAATTAAGAAAATCAAAGACAATAGAAAACTGTTGATATTCGAAAAGTTATTATTCACTTAAATGCGCAGATTCCCATTGTATAGGATTATTATAGCCCTTTGGAGCATCCAAATAGAGGATGAATGATATGAAACTCTGTTGGTTTCTAATAGTCAATTAACCGTCTTGTTTTGAACAGGAACTAATTCATGAGCCAAAGGTCCCCACCAAAGAGTAGAGCTAATCATTGCCTGTGGGCTAGGTATGCAGTTTGAACTTTATCCCATTCTTCAACCATGTAGTTCAAAGAAATATATAATCACTGAGACAACCTTTATCACTCTTGAAAGCATCCTTTATTCCCTAGTTATATCATAAATTATCCTCTTGAATTGTTTCACACAGAATCTTTTTTTTTTAAACGTGGCAGGTTCATTTTTACCTCTCCTCCTTCGCCTCCTCTCTCAAGTCTCAACAGTCTATGACTTGCAAAAGTTTGTAACTGGCTGATACTAATTAAATAACTTTCAAATGCAAAGTACACAACCTGAAATTATTGAGTTGAAGAAGAATCCCAAGGCCTAATAGCAGTTGAAAACCAAGAAAGCAAAGCCCTTGAAATGGCGTTAAAGCACCACTGGCAACTGGTCTCAACCTTGTCCGCTCTACCTGCACTATAACATGCTGGAAACTAAGGAACCGAGTTCGCGTGAGGAAGGGGAAAGTGCAGAAAACAATGACAATAGATGAAAAGATGCACAAAAGAACCTCAACTGTCAACAAAAAGAGATTTTTCAGCTGTTGATCCTCAAAAATCATGGTCACAAATGAAAATGACACTTCAACTATCCATCACATAGTGTTTGAAAGAAGCTAAAAGATGAGGATCAAAAGGCAGACAATAAAACCAAATAAACTGAATTTGTAAGGAGAAAAAACAAAGATGGAAAGAAACCCTCATTCCCAAACCATCAGCCTAACAATACCAAGTTCATTCCGAGCTACCCATATTGCGCTCTAAAGATTTATCAAGCCCTTATTCAATAACCAAAAGAGCAATGGAAGCTTAATGAAAACTATTCAAATTTCTTGAAAACAAAAACCATCAACTAATTTTGGACACAAAAGTTGCTAATCTTCAACTCAAATTCCTGCGTCGTACTAGAATAATATCGAACAACTTCTTAAATATTCACCACATAAAACGCAGTCCAAAGTCTGGCTGAGAAATGGGAGTTTAGCAACGAGTCACTAAACTAAATTCGAAGCTAACAAGTTTTTCTTTTTCTTTTTTTTTTTTTGAGAGAGAGAGAGAGAGCAAAACGAACATCAACAAATTCTCCATATATTCAACCAAATCATTGAACTTCTTGCAGATTAATAATCATCACCTTGGTATCGATATCCCGGTCAAGAAGATCATTAATAGTACAGCCGGCGCCGCGTAATAGTAAAGCTCCACAACCAAAAAGGGCCATCATTTTCACATCAGGAAGGCTTCCGGATTCTGCCGCCATTGTAATCGACCACATACAAGGCCAAGCTAACAGCCAGGTCCCTATCGGCTTATCCAGCCGTGCAAGGCGGGCGTATGGCCGGATTTTCTTGGGTAAATACAAATCAATCCATGATAATACTTCCAGCCCATTATTCTTACCACTATGCTTGTCATCATTCTCCTTCTTAGGGCTTGCTAGGGTTGAATAATGAAGTAATTGAACTAGGGTTTGGTTTTCGGGATAGAAACGAGTGCAAATGAAGTGTTTGTACGTGGAATTTGTGGGATCAAATGGGGTTAAACTGTTGGAAAATGAGGGAATTGACGGGTGCTGTGGAAACGCTTTGCCGGCGGAGGAGTGACCGGAAAGAGTGGCAGCGGCGGCGAGGCGACCATGGCGGTGGAGGGTGCCATATACTCGAGAGAAGCGCCGATACAGGGCCATCAGTCTGAGAGAGGAGGAAAGTGGAGGGTCTCGTCTGGTTGTTGGTTTTTGAATGCTTATTTACACTTAAACCCCGTAATTATGGGTGAAGTTGAACTTTTGGAGCTGAATTTTTTGTTATCCACATTTAGGAAGCTAATTAAATCCGGGTTATGGGTTTGGGTAAAGGCACAAATGAGTCAAGCTTAATTGAGTAGCTCGTGAGTTTGTTTGGTCGAAACTCGAGCTCGAACTCGCATTGACCGAATTTGAGCAAATTGAGATATTTGACAAGTCGAACTCGGGTTTAATATATAAATTTGAAAGCTCGTCGAGCTTAATCGAATTTCACATATATATGTTTTTTAATTTTTTATTTATTAATATAAAATATCTATTTTGTCCCATGTTTAAAATTATATAAAATATAAATTTATATTTCTTAAATTCGATTAGGCTTGATTGGACTCAATAAGAATAAGTTCGAGTTCAAACTCGAGTAATGTAAAATAAAATCGAGCTCGAGATCGAGCTTAATTTTCATGAGCTCAATGAGCTGGAGTTCGAGTTCGAATTCAAGTTTTTTAACTCGAGTTGAAATCAAGTAGTACACTATTCGAACTCAACTCGACTCGATTATATCCTTAGATAGTAGGAGATTAGGTACTCTCAAGAATTCCTCTTACCAAATCGTAATTTGTATATTTAAATTTTTTACTAAACCCTATTAGGTAACCCTGTGGGTTTGAGCTCTTATTACCAAATTCTTTCGTTTTAGTTTTAGAATTACTCATTGGGTACCCTCTACCCGCCAATTTGAATAATTAAAAAAAAAAGAATTAGTTTTCATCAAACTAAAATCAGTAGACATCATGTTAAATCAACACACTACGTTGAATTTTAAATTTGGGTAAAACCATAGAGAAATTCAACATTTTATGAAGGGAAAATTTAACAGTATTCCAAAAGAAGACTCAAATAATTATCCCACATTTTCCAACAAAGAGTTATGTAAAATGCATGACGAATAATAGTCTATAAGACAAACATATGTGCCAATTGAATCCAAACTAAAGAGAATAAACATATTTTATAGAGGTATTAATTCCTCAATATATATATATGTGTGTGTGTGTGTGTGTGTCTGTGTCGGGTATTATCTTTTAGAATTCTCTTACTTAACCTATCGGATTATCTGTCAGTAACTTCTCATCAATATCAAATCCTAACATATTGCCTATCAATCGTCTAATCGTATTAATCATCGGATCAAGTACTCATGGGCATTGGTTTTAACCTACTCGCTGTTGTTCCTACTTAATACTTCTCTAATTCGACTTTAGGGGATTAGAGTTGCAGATTTAGATTATACTAGTCAAAATAATATAGTTATGGTCAATGATAGCAAGTTGGTAATGATAGAAGGAAGGTGGCAAAAAAATAACTAGGGTCCCAAATGAAATGACAAGAACAAAGAATGATTATAAGAACTAGAAAACCAATAAAAGAATTAGAACAAGAGATCATAGTATCAATCAAAGACAAAAAAATAAATTTAAACAAAAGAAAAGAGGTTTGTATAGCACCTCTGCCCTAGTAGAATTTATATGATTTAGACACATTTTCATAAAGCTACTATAAATTTAGATATATACTAGGCAAGAACTTAACTGTAAGGCGAGGTGACACATTTGATATTTCAAAGGTGTTGTTACAATTTTGTCTTTCGTATAATAGCAAATTATGATTGCCAAATTAAATTCGTAGATATAATGAATATGTTGTTAAATGAGATACCATGACAATTCATTAGATGAATTATTATACATGTCATACATTTGATTCCTATTTCCAAGCACAATTAATTTTTGTTTTCTACCGTTTCTCATAATAAATCTTAAAAGATACTTTTAATATACCAACATGGGTAAGATATTTTACTAGGAAACAATCTAAAAGTCAATATTGGAAGACATATATATTATGATTGGTGTGGAACTACATGAGGCTCTTAAAATAGTTAACCAAAAAAAAAATGACTTGGCTATCATAATTAGGCATATCAATGGTTTGGATTTGGATTGGATCTCTTTAATTCAGATCCAAACCTATTAAATTTAGTTAGACCCAAATCCAAAACCTTATGAGTCTGAAAAAGTAAATCCAAATCCAAATGTCATAGGTTTGGATATCCATCAGATATTCATGAGTATTTTTCTATACATATAGTGAAGAATTAAAGTAATAATATTTTAAAAATATATAGAGCTAAACTATAATATAAATAATATTGGATTTTTTTTTTCAAATAATAAAATTAACATTCAAGAAGTTGAATGCAATATTAGGTTGGATTAGGTAGTGTTTTCTTAAATTAAGAGTGTATCCTTTAATCTAACAGTCATGAAGTTTTACTATATTCAATCTAAAAGTCATTCTGGATAAGTTCTAATTTGGATATGAGTTTAGGCATGAATCATAGAAAATCAGACCTTACCCAAACCCATGACTCTATTATAGGGTTTAGGTTTGGGTTTGATAAATTAAACTTAAATCCTACCTAAGTATATTGAGTCAGGGTTGAATTTGGATAAGATCTGGCCCATTGACATGCTTAATCATAATTATTGGGGTTTTATGACTTAACTTAATCATACTTTTAAACTTTTCACTAATTAAAATTGGTATTATGCAAATTTTTACTCTTGTATAAATCATCATATGCAACTAAAAATTACTAAGGCTAAAAAATTTCTGACAAGAAAATTAAACTTTGAAAATAAAAGCAAAAAACTCAATTGGTTCTCTTTCAGTTACACATACAAAGCAATTTGAAGTGTCAAAAGTTTTTTGTCGTTATTGCTTTAATCGTTAAAACCGATGTATTTAAGAAGAAACAAGTTGCTGTGGCTTTTCAATTCATATAATTAGACCGGATGGTTAATTCACCTAGTAGTTCAATCAAATTCTAAGTCTGTATATACACTTAATTAGGGAAAAATCTTATTTCTTCTCTGCTCTGTCAATTGTTGTCTCTTGCGCCGCTCTCTCTTTATCTCAACATTTCCTTCTTGTTTAGGTTAGCTTAAACTTTAAAAAAAATTAATTGTTCATTTCAAAATTAATGATAGAAGATTTGGTTGAAATCTTCTTTAATTCTATGCTCTATTTTGCAGGATTTTCATTTTTATATACTATTTATTTCGAGATCAAAGGTTGTGATAACATTTTTTTTCTGATCAGCCAAGCGTTGTTTTTGAACAACGAAGAAGTTTAGGTAATCCAATCTTACTCTTGGTTTGTAGTTTTAAATGATTTTTGGGTTTGATTTCTATTTAATTTGCAAGATTTGCTTATTTGGGTTTGATTAGCCAAGTGTTGTCTTTGAACAACGAAGAAGTTTAGGTAATCCAATCTTACTCTTAATTTGTAGTTTCAAATGATTTTTGGGTTTGATTTCTATTTAATTTGCAAGATTTGCCTATTTGGCTATAGGAAAATGCATATAAAGGCAAATCCACAAGTTAGAAAGACAAAAATCTAACTTTGATTTAGTTTATTATATTTTGATTTATTAGATCTATCATCTTGTTTATTTTTAGACATAGAGATTTTTTTAATTGTTAGATGACTATTAGTTAGACGTAATATGTTAGATATTTTGGATCTAATAAGAAATTTGAAAACACTTACTTGGTAAAAAATATTAAAATTTTGTTTTTTAAATTTGTGATCAAAAGAATTTCATCAAATAAATTATTTAAATATGATTTACTATGTAATTATCAATCTTTATATAGAGTGCAGGTATATGCAACACGTGTACGCACGCACGCACACTTATATAATGATGTATGTATGCATTTTTACAGATATATAAGTATGTAAATCTTATTTCTATATAAACACATGTATGTTTGAAAAATTTGTAAAAACACTTTATAGATCAATTATATATCCTTAATTGATTTATTACAAGTGCTAGTGTTCATGTTAACTCGATTAGGTTGAAAATTTAAGAAATAAAACGGAGTTTTTTCCTATATTTTATCAAGAGTAATGAATAGGCAAACGTCATTATTATTATTATTATTATTATTATTATTAAATTGAGGTATTCTTTAACTTTGTATTAACTTTTATATGAAGAATTTCTTTTAAAACTATTTTTTTAACTAACTTTGGTCTAATAACTTTGGTTATTTATTAAATATCGAATAAATATAGGGAAATTAACTTATTCCCTTTTTCATGAGAACAATTGTTTATTTAATATTAAAAAAACTTTAAAGTTGAGAAATATAAGTATATGCATGTCTTATGTCTCAAATTAATATAATAGTATCTCTCTTAAAACTTATGAAGCTATTGGATTTTTGAGTGATACCTATCCTATATTTCCAAATTTTGCAAAATTAAAATTTGATTCATTGATACTTGTTACAATTGATATAGACACAAACATTTTTTTTTGGCTCCATGACACAAATATGTTTGGAATCTCCAAAAAACAACCAAAAAATGGTACAAGAACCTTGGAAAAACAAATATTAAAATCCATTGTCAAAAGAAGAAAAACAAACCTAGGCCCATTTCCATCGTTAACCAAAAATAAGGGATTGTATGTCAAATTCTTCAAGAATTTCCCCACAGGGGTATTTATGGAATATCACAAAAACAAAAGTTATTTATGTGTGGTGACTAGGGATGCAAACGAGTCGAGTTTAATCGAGTAGCTTGCAAACTTGCTCGATCAAAACTCGAGTTTAAACTCGCATTGACCGAGTTCGAGATCGAACTCAAGCTACTTGACGAGTCGAGTTCAAACTTAATATGTGAAGTTCGAAAGGTCGTCGAGTTTAATCGAGCTTCACACACATACACACACACACACACACATATATATATCTATTTTTTTAATTTTTTTATTTATTGGCATGAAATATCTATTTTGTCCCTTATTTAAAATTATATAAAATATAAAATTATATTTCTTAAACTCAATTGGGCTCAATAAGCATGAGTTCGAGTAATGCAAAATAAAATCGAATTCAA